ACACGATTGCAAGCACATCCTTATCTTGCTTCTTCTGTGGCAACGGTAAGCACATTCGTTCAAAATGCCCGGCTCGTGAGTCTTTCTGTCATTCTTGCGGCAAGAAAGGTCATTTCCAAAAAGTTTGTCGATCCAAACTGGGTTCAAGCCGTATCACATCGACGGTGAACCCTGGTGTCTCATCCATTTTCAACATCTCTTCATCCATGGGACTTTCCAAATCAATCGTTGATGTTATAGTGAATAATATCCCACTTCACGCACTTATCGATACTGGTAGTTGCGAAAGTTATATTTCTTCTGACATCGCACTAAAGCATGGTTGGACAATAACATCCTCTAAGAGCGCTATCTCGATGGCTTCAACGAACTTATCGTGTGTTACTAGCGGTCATCTTTATGCTACCGTTCTGTACAAAAGCACACTATACGAAAGTGTCAAACTCTCGCTCTTATCCAATTTGTGTTCAGACGTCATCCTTGGCTTGGATTTCCTCAGTCAACACCAAAGTGTCATCATACCATTCACGGGTAAGCGGCCCCCATTCGCCATATGCACATTGAAAGCAGCGAGAGTCAACGCCCCCTCTTTGTTTGATAATCTCGCCCCTGGATGTACTCCAATTGCCACTAAATCTCGTCGTTTCTCTCGCACGGATACGGTATTTATCGAGACGGAGGTTCGGAAGTTACTAGCTGACAAAATTATTGAGCCGTCTAACTCTCCTTGGCGCGCTCAGGTTCTCGTTACTACGAATGACAGGCATAAGAAGCGCATGGTCATCGATTACAGTCAAACCATAAATCGCTTCACTTACCTTGATGCGTATCCTCTGCCGAAGGTGGACGAACTTGTAGAGAAGGTTTCCCATTACACGGTGTTTAGCACACTAGACCTTCAAAGTGCGTACCACCAGATCCCCATTCTCGACAAAGACAAGCCATATACTGCATTCGAGGCATGTGGTAAACTCTTTCAATTTCGCCGCATTCCGTTCGGAGTTACTAATGGTGTGGCCTGCTTTCAACGCACCATAGACAACATCATACGCGAGGAAAATCTGCTCGATACATTCGCATATGTTGACAATGTTACCGTGTGTGGTCGCGATGCCCAGGAACATGATCGAAATTTGAAGAAATTCTTAGAGGCCTCAAAACGTCACGGTATTACATTTAACCAGAAAAAGAGCATCATAGCTACTGCGAAAGTACTATTACTGGGATACGAAATATCTCATGGTATGATAAAACCGGATCCTGAACGTTTTCGAGCCCTACGGGAGTTGCCTCATCCATGTGACATCCGTTCACAACGAAGATTGGTCGGAATGCTGGCATACTACGCACACTGGATTCCATGTTTCTCAGATAAGATTCATCAAATCGTCCGCAATCAAATCTTCCCGATTCCAGATAGCGTACAAGCGGCACTGAATAAGCTCAAACACGATTTGGAAAAGGCAGCCGTTTTCACCATAGACTACACTCGTCCACTCGTTGTGGAAACTGATGCTTCCGACATAGCCATTGCGGTCACTCTCAATCAAGACGGGCGCCCGGTAGCTTTCTTTTCACGCACTCTGTCACACAGTGAGCGGCATCATTCAGCAATCGAAAAAGAAGCGTACGCGATTGTTGAAGCTCTGAGAAAGTGGAGACACTACCTGATCGGCAATCACTTCACACTTGTCACGGACCAACGATCAGTCGCCTTTATGTACGACAAACAACACAAAGGCAAAGTAAAAAACGACAAAATCCAGAGATGGAGACTTGAACTGTCCTGTTTTCATTACGATGTCCAGTACCGTCCAGGTAGTCAGAATAAAGCCGCTGACGCACTATCGCGGACTGATTACGTATCTGCGATGTCACAGGTGGATCTCAAACATCTTCATAATACATTATGTCACCCCGGTATCACGCGGATGCTTCATTTCGTTCGCTCAAAAAATTTGCCGTTTTCGACCGATGATGTTAAGGCGATTACAAATCAGTGTAGTATTTGTTCGGAATTGAAGCCTCGTTTCCTCAATCACCCTTTTGGCAATCTTATTAAAGCTACACAGCCGTTTGAACGCGTCAGCATAGATTTTAAAGGCCCACTTCCATCGACCTCCCACAACAAATACCTTCTAACAATGATCGACGAGTACTCTCGTTTCCCATTAGCCTTCGCGTGTACGGATGTGTCCTCATCCACCGTGATCAAGTGTTTTAATCAGTTGTTCTCTTTGTTCGGAATGCCCTCATACGTCCATTCTGATCGTGGTGGAGCTTTCATGTCAGGTGAAGTACAAACGTTTCTTCACGACAGGGGTGTAGCAACCAGTCGAACTACCCCATACAATCCGCGCGATAACGGACAAGTTGAACGGCTTAACGGTACTCTCTGGCGTTGAAGACCCAACAACGGGACATTACCGAGTGGGAATGTGTGCTTCTAGATGCTTTGCACTCTGTTCGCTCCTTATTGTGCACCGCTACTAACACGACACCACATGAAAGATTCCTTAACTTCCACCGGAAGTCAACGTACGGCACCTCTCTTCCGACTTGGTTATCGACTCCAGGCCCCGTTCTGTTAAAAAGGATGACACGTTCTTCCAAATACGATCCGTTAGTGGAAGAGGTGGAACTTGTTAATTGTAACCCGCAGTATGCCTGCGTTCGTTTCCCGAACGGAAAGGAAGAAACTGTTTCTCTTAGACATCTGGCACCCAAAGCACAGACAATATCAGATGTCTATTTATCTGAATCAATCGAAAGTGCAGCGGCTCCTCCAGACGAGACTCAATCACACTCGCTTGATCCTCCTGGAGGCGAAACGGCACCACCAGAACAACCCAGTGAGGTTCCAGGGAATGTCCTACAGTACATCACAGACCAACAGCGTGTTCGACCGTATAATCTTCGAAACCGCGAAGCCTAATTTATATTCTCCTGACAATAATCCCTCCGGCGGGGAAGAATGTTATATATTGACGTTGTGTTTAACTTTTTACTCGCTACTCGTTGAGCTAATTGTGTTTCCTAATGTTTTAGCTGATGTACTGAAATTGATAGAAGATTAAAGCCAATCATTCGGCAATCCTCGTTCTCTGTTTCTGGCACAATCATTCGAGTGCGCAACACAATATATCCATACATTGTAATAATAGTGACCATGACGCAAGGGAATAGCAGTCCAGTATCCACCGATGTCTCTCTCCAACTCCTTCCCACCACACAAGAAACGTCGCTGGGTCATTTGAATGTCAGCTATCTGACCGAAGGGTCTTATGCTCCTCGCTACCTATTAACAAAAAATAAATCAGCGAGATCCTTTCTATATAGGAGCTTTCAACGTCCATGCTTTGTGTAAAATTGGCAAACAGGCAATACTTGCTGAAACCTTATATTCTTGGCAATTAGGAACTTCCAACATAAAAGTCCGCACCGCATAACCTGGTGGCACCAACTGCAAATCAACCGTGGACCCAGTTGGATCATGTAACCATCGGCCACCGGTGAAGAGCCACAATGCAAGACTTCCGGGGCACACCACTTGATTCAGATCGCGCCATGGTGCGTGCAAGTTTGACAGTTTGTTACACTTCAGGCCCTCGCAAGTCATCAAGAAGCACGCCAATCTACTGCCTTTGAAGAACTACCACAGCTCAACAGCATCGACCTGAGCTAGCCCAACGACTCTCCAGAGTAAACCGATACTGTGGTGGCAGTGAGCATGTGGATGAAACGTGGCGAAAGATGAAAGGGGCTACGTTAGCCGTGTTCAGTGCTGTCTGCCCGACGTTTCCAATTCGACCACAGGACCACCGGATGTCATCGAGATCGGTATCCATGAATGATACCAGGAAATCCATACCAGCAGGCAACGAGCAGGACGGCGCACGCAAATCCCTCAAACGCGGAGCATACAAGACCCCACTTCAGTGGTGTTTCTCAGGCCACTTAGGACGAACCCGGGTGTTCCATATTTCACTCTTCGGGCATCCGGTGATCCGGGCGCAATGGCTCGTGGTATCTACGGTGTGGGAGTTGCACTCAGCCTTACAGCTGAAAGCGTTTCACTGGACTAGATCCCAGTAAACAGTCGCCTTTGCTCTGTGCGGTTGTCTGACTCAATTAAGATGAACGCAGGTCGATGGAGTAAACGGTGTTTGTTTGTCGTATCAGCAAGCGCCCCAACAGAGAGCAGTTATGAGACTGAGAAGGACAAGTTTTAACAATATCTGTCACGACTGCTTGGGTTGGCAAGAAGGGTAGATATAGTAATCCTGGCGGGTGATAGGAATGCACAAGTTGGACGACTAAGCACGGAAGAAGCACATTTAGGTGGTTGATTTGGAGTCGATGCTGAGCGGACGGATAATGGAGAGGTTTCTTCAGTTGTGTACAGATCATCTGCTCCTGACAAATACGAACTTCCAACACCAACGCACACGCTAAGTTACTTGGAGGCCACCTACCGCAAGACAGTCGTGGACTGAATTGAAACATATAAGGACTGATGGAGAGCCTCAGTTAAGGATACCCAACTTGACTCTGATCACGCCACCGCGGGATGGGTCCAGCCTCTACCCGGTCGAAATCCCGCTTGATTCTCACGAGTCAAGACTTCGCGTGCCACCGTAAGACGAAGAATCAGTGACACCAGAAGCTTTGTCACAACAGGCGTCAAACAACTCTGTGGTTGCTACATTCACTGCGAGTGCCCTTTTTGAAAATGGGCACCACTATCGATTCACCCCAGTTGTCTGAGACGGTTTCCTTCTCCCAGATAGACCTAAATAGACTGGACAGGCACTGGCTGAGGGATCCACCGCCATCCTTGAAAAGAGCAGGTGAGAGGACGTCAGGAGCAGCAGCACGATGACGCTTGAGTAGAGAAATGCATTCGGACACTTCTGAGACTGAAGGCGGCTCCATATCTACGCTCTACCTTTCTGTTGAAGGCTAGTTTTGGGATTAGAGGTGGCAGATGACCAGCTCAATTACTGCTCGAAGTACTGTGCCCAGCAGGCCAAACGTTCTGCTTTGCTGCATTTCAGGGAGCCATTTTGGTCCCTGATTATTTCGCTGACAAGAGGTTTCCGAGGGTCAGTCGAACGAATCAGGTGGAACAGTTTGCGCACGTCTCCAGTATTCTTTGCATCTTCCATTTCTTGGGCCTTTCGGATCCACCAAGCCCCCTGGTCAGCGCGGACATTCACTTTCACCTGGCATCAGATGATGCACCGGGTGGAGTTGTGGTGGCGGCCAGGTGGAATCTGTCGCCTGGTCTCCAGGAAAGACAGTCCTATCAGAGATTGGCTAGGTTGGCTAGGTTGTACCGCAAGCAGACTTTGCCGCTTTGAGTAGCGCTTTGGATATTTTTCCCAGTGGCCGTTTATATCTGACACCGTACCGTCCGTCGGGCATTCGAAGAGCTGGTTCTGATAGCTAGCTTCTCAATGGCTAGCGGGGTGTGCGCGTTTCGCGTACACCTGAAAAGCGCAATGAAAAGCAGCAGCTTACAAGTGCATGGTCGGAGTACACGCTAGTGTTCTAGAGAGAGCAGCAGGCGGTGATCGACTCTCACCACTGATAACTGACGGCGATGTGGTCTATTTGGATTCGGCAATGGTTTGTTGGTGAACACCACGTTGTCAAGCGATTTCCGATGTTCCGGAAATTTGTACTTCAAATGAACAGTCAGAAGTAAATGAACAGTAAATGAACAGTCTAAAGCAAGCGGTCTCCGTTGTCCGTGCGTCTAGTGTCCAAACCAAGACAACCACCCAATCGGGCCTTAGCAGCGCTTAGTATACCTACCTGGGCGTTCATATCACCAGCAACCACAACGATATCTGAGCTTTTAGCCTGCTGTTGAAGGGCATCTAGGGCGTCATAGAAACTGTCCCTGCCAGATTCAGAGCTACAGGCAGTTGGAGCGTAAGCAGACACAATAAACAAAGTGCGATGAACCTCACTTCCTCTAGATTCTCTCACCAATGTTGCCAAACGACCCGCACAGAGGCGACTATCAACGGGTATCTAATCAAGCAGAGACGCTTCCGCTCGTTCGCTCAATACAATACCCACCCCAGCATATCCAGCTACAGCGGCCTTTGCATCACCAGAGGTGCGTAGCCGGAACCTGTAAGAGAGCGAGGGGGCAGTCTGTTTGATCACAACACTTGCGTACTGCGTCCGTGTTTCTGACAGACAACATACATCAATACAGAGGGAATCAAGCGTACGCGCGAACGCCACCTGTTGACCTGCTTGCTTCAGTGTGCGAACATTGAAAGTGGCTAAGTAGACAGGCTTTCGGGGTTTGAAAACAGACTTCGAAGTGTTTAGGGTTGTAACTGAACTCGGACGTGCAGAAGCTGCAGGTGAGTGTGATGTAGGGCGGGGAAAACGGTCAATTCTAGAGCTGGGGCTGCAGATAAAGTATTCAAATTTGGGCGGCGGAGGGTGGAAGACGGAAAACGTGAGTGTAAGAAGGGAGGCGTCAGCAGTAGCATGTTTTCGCTTACCCGCCCTGCTGTATGCAGCAAGTAAGGCGACCCGGCTGATGGCACCACGCGTCGGCCGATGTGGCATGGGAATATTGTTAGTTTTGTAGGTCATGGTTGTACGAGGGCTGGGATACTGCCAGGGCACCCACACCTATGTAGGTCTTCATAAATTTTACTGCTTGAGCGGTAAGCAGGGGCTTTATGCAATCAATAGAAATCACCTATGTTATTCTTTAAAGTACTACAGACGTCTAACGTGATCACGAATTATAGCACACAATAATTGAGGATAGCAACATACCCGGGCCAGAGAGCATAGCTTTGATCGTCCCACTGATCAAAGCGTACTCACGGCGGACATAAAACTCATGATCATCCGAAGACACGAGTTTCACATACATAGCGTCGGCTCCTTCAGCACCGCCATATTTCTGTTCACTCGCCGAAGAGGGCTGAGCCTGTACTTCTGTCATCTCTTCCGAAGACTTTGTATATTGCGGTCGAAACCAAGGTCACGAGTGTGATGAACCAGTCGACGCTGTAGGTATGAAGGCCACAGATTCACGGATTGAAACACAGGATCGAGTCTTTTGCCCAAGTTTCCCTGGTCCGTTTTGTTCTTGTCCTTAACCGGTCGTCGCGCATCTCAAAGGCACAATTGAAAAAGGGTGTAGCACCACTCTTCATGTTTTCTGTGTGGGATAGTAGACTTGCCAGCGCGAGGATTCGCATAAATAGGTGTCTAATAGTGCTTTGAACTGGGTTCTAGGAGCGTGGACAAAGGTCGGAGGAAGGTCATTCCACGCAGCTACTACCCAAAATGAGAAAAAAAATTGTCTAATGAATGTGTGAACTCCGAGCTTGAAAATCTATGCCCCTGCCGAGTGTTTGCTGGTTGAAAACAGACTTCGAAGTGTTTAGGGTTGCAACCGAACTCTGACGTGCAGACGCTGCAGCTGAGTGTGATGCAGGGCGAGCAAAACGGTCAGTCCTAGAGCTAGGACCTGCAGATAAAGTATTCAAATTTGGGCGGCGGAGGGTGGAAGACGGAAAACGTGAGTGTAAGAAGGGAGGCGTCAGCAGTAGCATGTTTTCGCTTACCCGCCCTGCTGTATGCAGCAAGTAAGGCGACCCGGCTGATGGCACCACGCGTCGGCCGATGTGGCATGGGAATATTGTTAGTTTTGTAGGTCATGGTTGTACGAGGGCTGGGATACTGCCAGGGCACCCACACCTATGTAGGTCTTCATAAATTTTACTGCTTGAGCGGTAAGCAGGGGCTTTATGCAATCAATAGAAATCACCTATGTTATTCTTTAAAGTACTACAGACGTCTAACGTGATCACGAATTATAGCACACAATAATTGAGGATAGCAACATACCCGGGCCAGAGAGCATAGCTTTGATCGTCCCACTGATCAAAGCGTACTCACGGCGGACATAAAACTCATGATCATCCGAAGACACGAGTTTCACATACATAGCGTCGGCTCCTTCAGCACCGCCATATTTCTGTTCACTCGCCGAAGAGGGCTGAGCCTGTACTTCTGTCATCTCTTCCGAAGACTTTGTATATTGCGGTCGAAACCAAGGTCACGAGTGTGATGAACCAGTCGACGCTGTAGGTATGAAGGCCACAGATTCACGGATTGAAACACAGGATCGAGTCTTTTGCCCAAGTTTCCCTGGTCCGTTTTGTTCTTGTCCTTAACCGGTCGTCGCGCATCTCAAAGGCACAATTGAAAAAGGGTGTAGCACCACTCTTCATGTTTTCTGTGTGGGATAGTAGACTTGCCAGCGCGAGGATTCGCATAAATAGGTGTCTAATAGTGCTTTGAACTGGGTTCTAGGAGCGTGGACAAAGGTCGGAGGAAGGTCATTCCACGCAGCTACTACCCAAAATGAGAAAAAAAATTGTCTAATGAATGTGTGAACTCCGAGCTTGAAAATCTATGCCCCTGCCGAGTGTTTGCTGGGTTAATGGTGAAAAACCTATCTGCCAAGCGTTGTTCAAACAGGGCATAAGTAAAAGGTAGGCCCTCTCGGAAGCGACGGTACTCCAAGGTTGAAGAGATCAAGCATCGCGAGACGCGTTTCGCAGTCAATGGATTTGAGGCCGGCGACGATTCTCATAGCGGCTTGCCGGACACGCCCAATGAGGGTTAGGTCTTTCGTGCGTCCTGAGTAGACAACTTGGTTGGCGTATTCCATGAGCGGTCTGACGTAGGCCTCATAGAGTATTTAGAAGTCCATGCGAGTAATACGGGAGAGGGTGAGTCGGATCATCCGTAGAATGGCGAATGCCTTCTCGGACGATTTATCTTGGTGCAGTGAGAAGGGCAATTTTAAGGAGACCCAGATGCCCAATTCTTTTAGGCGTCGATCATTATGATGTTCTCTGGTCCTTTCTCAGCAGAGGAATTCGCTGAGTCCCCTCAAAATGACATAAGGACACACTTTTCGTCGTTCGCAAGGAGGTAGACTGGTCTGGACACTGGTGTGACCAAAACAACAGGTTAACTTTTAGTCACTCATCGTCTAATCAATAAAATAGTCCAGCAAGTTATACTTGTTACGCAGGCACTGGCACACATGACGCCCACGGGAGGCTACTTCTTTCTTCTATATCATAGGTATGAATTTATTCATTAGATTGTTTTCCGTTATCGCCGCAGTAGAACCAGGGATAGTGCCGGTGTGACGTCAACGAAAAATGCAAAAGCAACGTCAGTTTCAGCGCTTTCAAGGAGCAAATTCTGAGTCGGAATGTCTGTGGTTGGCTATTCGATAGGGCCATTCGGTATCCGGCGAATGAAAACGCTTTATCTTCGGGGTTGCAATTTCATATTCAAACATTTTCTGTGGAAGGCATTTTTGTGCTAATTCGGGGTGCGAGTGGTTCGTTCAAGTGAGCTAATTTGTAGTGTCAAAAAATGTATCAATTCGGAAAACGGTGGTTTGTGATCTTCCATATTGCCGGAAAATTTGAATCACCTGCAACGACACAAAATTTGCAGTTTTTCTCCGCATCTGGATTTGTTTGCGGAACTCCCCATATCCTGTAGTGCACTCATTTGCGGGAAGCTAAACCACTCTTGAAAACTTTGTCTTGTATCTTCTGGTCGACTAGATGAATGCAAGGATCTGTACTCCATCGCCCCGGGGTGTCCTAATTCAGTCACCATCGTGGTGCAGACGTCTGATCGTACAACCACAAACACGGAGAAAGCCGTCACTTAGCCCCAGCCACATTTGGGACGCGTTTGTTTCAATCTGCTGAACCCTCCGTTCGTGTTTCAGTATCTAGATGACCTCCTCAGAGACCGATAATCGAAAGCAACATGTCGTGCGATTTCTGCGACACTCTTTCCCTCACCTGTGGCGGCATAAGTGAGTGATTTAAAAAATGTGGAAAATGCTTCTTTAACTTCTTACCGGTGGAGACGCCAGCAGAAGTGATTGGTGATCCACATAACTTTATTAAATAGCCACATCCAACAGCTAGTTCGAAACAGCTATATTAGAAGGCGTATCCGTCTGCGGCACTTGTGAATAGTGGGTCCGCTTACGCACTTAGTATTTTATTACAATAACGTCCATGTGCCTGGTTGATATACCTATCGACCATTAGAAATGCACACGAAGACTCACTCACTGGCACAATTTTTCTCTTCCTGCTCATTGCGAATTCGCCGGATACTAAACAGAGATATGCCAGACTGCCGCACTTAACAGATTACCTTCCGTTTTCTCACGAATGACCTGTTGCTCATTATCAATGTCGGTTCGGTAATTGACTGGATTGGAATTGTGTTTTGTTTGGTCACTCTCTATAACAAGATAAACTTAGATTGCCAAACCCCCGAGGTGTCGTTCGTTTGCGTCACTAACTATTTTTATAACCTTCCTTTAGAATCCAATGCTACATATACGACTTGGCAACCAGAAAGCTAAAGCCACGTTCCAAAATCGGCAGATCACCGCCCTATGTAGGCTGTCTGCAATCCATGTTCGTCATCCAGCGGTAGCAGCCTTCCGGTGGCCAACTGCCATGCAACCAAAGGGAAGCACGACGGCTGGAGTGCTGCAAGATTTCATAGGACTAGACCGTGAAAGTCGGGATGCAGGGGTCAGGTTCGAACCGCGAACCTCCGGTACCCACTGAGCCACTTTGCCGCGCAATCCATGTTGTCCCTAGGATCGACCGTAGCTCAATAATCATCCACGTAACCGAGCAAAGGTGAGCGAAATCAAAATGGCGGTGGTGTCTGTCATTTAGCGAGCCGCACAATATCGAGTGATCGATTGAAGAAAAAAACAATTAGTTTCAGGAATCTGCAGAAATCATGATTCGGATAGCTTTGTATTTAGCAACAATAGCTTCCGCATTTGTTCATTAACTATAAAAGCGATGATTCGCACTGGGGACGAAAAGGAACCCGCCGATTGCATGTTACAGAAGGCACTATGTGGTTCTAGCGTTTATGATCCACAGAATATGTATGTATATAAGCATGATTCTCATGAAGAGACCGGACCTTACCGCGGTGTGACGATTTGTGCACCTTAGCGCCCCATTGAGCTGTACTGGTGGGTGTCCTCGCGACACTCACAGGGTCTCATATACCCAGTTGATCAATGATTAGAGTCCTGGCTAACCAGGCTCTTGACCTTCTAGGTTGAGGGTTGGAACACGTGGCGACTTGTTCCGTTGAAAAGGCGATGCATGCCAAGCACGGCTACCTTGCTGCAAGGCTTTTGAGAAAAAGGCTTTAGTTTAGGATGATAAGCGTCCTCCTGTCTAGGTGTGACCCGACCTAAAGAATACCACCTTGACGTTGTGGTCAGGCTTCAGTGCTGCAATGATCCCGCGGGCTACACTGGCTGGAACTTCGTTCCACAAGGTGCAACCATGCCAGGAAGGCCAAAGGGGAGCAGCCAGAC